GGGTGGCTCAGTTGGTTAAGCATCCTACTCTTGGTTTTGGCTCAGTTTCATTCAAGCCCCGCTGACAGTGCAGAGCCTGTTGGGATTCTCTCTCTCCATCTCTCTCTCTCTATCCCTCCCCTGCCTGTGCTCTCTCTCTCTCTCTCAAAATAAATAAATAAATCATTTTTTTAAAAAAATCCACTGAATTGTACACTTTAATAGAGTGACTTTTATCTTGTATGACTTTTATCTCAATTTTTTACATTGAAAGAAAAAAGGCAAAAAGAAAAGAGGAGGGGACTTGACAGAGATGTTTAGCAAGGACAGGAACCTTGGCCTCCTCATCTGAAGGGAGGGTCGTTTCTGGAACCATGCTTTTAGGGTATAAAATAACATACATGAAATAACAAAGAAAACCAATTATATCAAAATGAAGTTATCAAAATATTCTTCAGACAACGGATTTGTGATCTAGTAACGCATGCACTTCTAGAGCGGCACATTAAGAAATAGTTACTAGCAGCTGGTCTGATGACTACCGTCATTTCAAAGTTGTGATGAACACACGTGATTTCACACAATCCCTTCAACCACCTCAATGGGTTGGGAAATCTGTGATTTCTGTTAATGATAAGATCACAGATACTAATGCTGGTTTGCTACTCACGTTCATAATTGAACAAAATGCTGAATTCCAGTTAGAAGGTAGTGAAAATAGAAATACCTATAATTTTTTCACCTCTGAGATCATAGACCCTCAAGTTATACTTATGGGTCACTTGGGCGTTCACAGACCCCAAGTTTAGAATCCCTACATTGCCCCACTTTGGATGGTATCCAGGAAAAAGTGCAAAGGACTCAAAATACTTAATAAGCCATTGTCGGTTAATTACTTAGGGAGGATGCTTTCCCATCGCAACCGCTAGCGAATAGCAAAAGCAGCATCTGAGGGCACTTCCTGTCATTCTTTGAAGAGCACATAATAAACTACCTGATGTAGTAGGCAGATAAGTCCCCGAAATGCAAATAGGCTTCATTGTGTTTGTGTCAACTACCAGGTTGTAGGGAATGCCAGTGTGCTGTCTGGAGAATGATTCTGAAGTTCTGTTTCCTGCTGGGGGTATGGGTAACTTCTGTGATGGGTCAGTGCGATGGCTTGATGTCTGCTCCGGAGCCCTGAAGGATTAACTCTAAGCCCTCCGTGCTGAGCAACTTCTTCCTAAACCTGCAGCCTCTCTCTTAATATCATTTGTGCCACCAGGAACCTTGACTTTAGCAATTCATTGCTTAGCAATTCTACACCAAATGTGTGATGTCAACACTCAGGTAAATTAGCCATGCAGACATTCAGGGTGGCTTTTCTTTTTAAAAACAAATCCCATTGTTTATAAGCATGACAATATGCTTCCAGTGAAATGAAGCTTATTAAGAAGCTATCATTTGGAGAACGATATTAACGCGTCGAGTTCCTTCAGAAACATGATATTTATCCTGTTTAAAATACTGTTAAGCTCTGCGTTTTGGTTTACTCAAGCCCCAAAAGTCCTTGCAGAATGAAGCGAAACTCACAGAGAAGCTTCCAGGCACCACCAACAGCCAAGGTTTGGATCTGCAGAGCCCCCAGGTCAAGTGTTTCCCCAGTTCTGTGGCTCTCCCTCCCAGGTGAGTCACAGCTTATCATGTAGCGAGTTTCTGGGTATCTGATCAACAGGGGGCCGCCTTCTAATCTCAGGTGTGGGTCCACTGCGTTTGGTCCTCTTCCTTTGGTTAGTGAAGAGAACAACTACTCAGCAAGGCCTGCAAGGGAACATGACTTCTGGAATGTGATTGTCTAAGTTGTTCTCCTCTGTGTACCACACAGATGAGGCCAACATGATGCATGTGTATTTACGCAAACGTGATGTCTTTGATTTGTGTGTATATATATCGTGTGTGTGCTCGCGTGCGTACATACAGATCTCCACTGTCCTTCTCTCTTTGGAATTGCTTTCCCCTCATTGTTCAGGATGAGATGGAAAAGAACATCCTCCAGCTGGTGTGTAGTCATCTCAATTCCCTGCCCCTTAACTTTAATCAGGTCTACTGGACAACTTAGCTTGGCCTTCCAGCTTCTACTTAACGATTCTTCAAGTTAAGAGTCTATCCTTCTAAATAAACTTATTAGCGGTGAATTTGACTCCTGATGCTTCCAAAGCCTGACCGTTAGTGTGTTTTGAGACTGGCAGGAAGCTCTCCCCCATCCATTCATCTCCCTCTCTTGTGAGTCTGAGGTTCCTTTGATTTTTTGACACTTCAGACAGGTTCCTGTAAGGTGAGAACACCTCCTGGAATGCAGTAAGAGGGTGGGGATACAAGAGCTTCCCTCCTTGCTCTGTCATCCAGGGCAGACTTCACTAACGGAACACAGTACTCTTTCCTATGAACCTGGGTCTGGCCTCAAAGTCCGTCTGAGGACAGCGAGCCAACAACGGAAGTCGACACTCAAGCGGAAGTCTCACCAACCTTACACTGAACCCACATCAATGAACAGTGAAGGCGTGAGGTTCACACAGCTGGTAACTCAACCATCGTGCCCTGAAAGACCATGACCCCAGCTAACACTTTAAAGTCAACGTGTGCTTCCTCAGCGAGGTAAGTGCTCGTGTTTGAGAGCTTCTTTTAAACCACCACAAAATATCCAAACTGTCCATTGATATATGTGGGAGAGCCTAATGGGAGAGGCTTGCTGGGGGCTGAGAGGTGTCAATGCCCTGTGCATGGGATATACACCGTTCCCCTGGCATGTCAAGCAGGTCCTGGCACAGACAGCCCCTCTGTCCCTGTCGTTCAGTGCACTGCCTCCTGGCCCCTGGGGTTGGCCAGCCCAGCCCCATCGGCCTGGGGGTGCCAGCTCTTCCATTTTCCCTAGACCTCCCCTGCCTTCTCCTCTGAACATCATTTTCCCACCTTCGTGTGAACCATGATCCCTCCCCCCTCCCCACTACCTTCACAAGCAAGTGTAGTTTTCTAGCACACCAGGCATTGTTTTAATCGTCAGTGGTGCACGATGCTTCAGCATTACAAAACCCCCCCTTCTCTCCACTGTTTGCTTAAGACTTTACAGCTTTCCTGACCATCATGCCAGCCATTGGACAGCGTTCCCCGGCCTCATTGAGATAATCCCCTCGCTTAACAGAGGCACTCATTTATACTTTTATACCGAACAACCCTGTCATAGATATCTCTCCTGGAGCCAAGCTCTTGTCTCCAGCCCAAAACCATGCCGCAGCACAGCCCCCACTGCTGTGCCATAAGCTTCTTGATTGTCTGATATCTCAGGGAGCAAAGGGTCACCCCGACTGTGGAAAGCAAGCCTGGCAGTGAGGTCAGTCCCATAAACTAGTGGCTTAACTTAGCTGCAGCCTCATATTCTGCACAAAAATCTCCCCCAGGGTTGTAGGCTTCCCAGGGCAGGGAAGAGAGTGAGGAATCCATTCTCCTGTCACCTCTCACCCAGGCAAAGAGGGGATCTAGACGATGGAATTCTACTCTTAGCTTTCATCTTCTAGAACGCAGGTCAGCCTGGGGCCTCCTGAGCCTCGTAGCTGGTAAGCATGACTTGGGAATCTGAGAATCTGCTGGTGGTGTGCAGGAAGTACAGTGGTGTGCAAAGCATGGGCGCCACCCCCGACCCCCGCCACTTCCCTGTCCCTGCCAGCCTGGAGACAGAAAGTGAGCTCAAAACAATCAGCCAAAGGGATCAACTGTTTCCCAGACATGGCTTCTGGAAGAAGTTGCAGCAAAATACTAAGGTGCCACGCAGCTAAGAAAAACATGGATAATCCCAAATGTTCACAGTTTCAAACTCTTTATGGTGTCTTTTCCACAGCCGCTATTCCAACAAGCAGAGGACCTGCTGGGCTGTGAAAAGGGCCCTAGATTTGGAATGAATAGCCCAGGGTTGAGTGCTGGCTCCTGCATTTGCGGGTGGTGTGACCTTGACCAAGTCCTGGGCAGAGTAATCTCATGGAATCCAAGTGCCCCACCGGTAAACAGGGAACCATTAGAATATTGTGTGCCTGTGGCAGTTATGAGGTTCCAATAGCGCGATGTAGGCTTGAAAGTCAATTATGTACTACGATTGGCATTACAGAGGCAAGGACTTCCTTTTTCTCCATATTTCAACAACCCGTGATCCTCTCGGGGCTCCCTCTCCCCCCAGCTCTCCTGCCTTGCTGTTTCCAGCATTCGCTGGGGCCACCCAAGGCCTGGTTAGTAGGGTGCTCAGTGGGGTGGATGGGGGGTGAATTCGTGATGCCTCCATCTCGCCCATGCAGATGGGTAAGGCAGCTGAAATTAATGACATTCCAAGCCACTGCAGCGCTCATCTGCTTAACAATCCAATTTCTAGGACATTTTAGAAGTTGTTAGCTGACTGCCAAAAATGAGGATCATTAAAAATAGATTCACAGCTGTTCAGGAAGCCAGAGATATAATTTTACCTTCATTATGCCTTATTGCAGATGTTATTGATTTAATCTCATTGCATTTTACTGTGTAATATCAATTCACACTGTCTTTGACTTGGAAATTAGGAACTGTATTTATTCTTCTTATTCTCATAGCGTAGCCATGCTTCGACTGACAGCCTCAATGACACCAGGCTCTAAGGTGGTGGCACCATTTAGGCAAGGCCTCATTGTCAGGGTGCAAAGCTAATTTAGTGTAGTTGCCCGAGAGAAAAATAATCTAAACATGAGGACACTGTGCCTTTTAGGAGTGGGTCTACCCACACAAATAATTTAAATACGTGAATCAAAAGAACACTTGGGTTTCCTTGCATGTCACCAAAACATTGGCTCGATGAATCTTTCACTTCTCGGGCAATTTTCTTTTATCTGGAAATTTCACACTGAAATTTGCTAGAGTAGAATTTTATCTGAAATAAATTAGAATATTGTTTCCCAAGAGGTGTTTCTCAGAACATTTGTCTTAAGATATTCTATGGTTTAAAAAAAAAGAAAGAAAGAAAAGGTCCAGTGTTCCTCCTTCAGAAGCACATATACTACAATTGGAATGATACAGAGAAGATAGCATGTACCCTGCTCTAGGATGACATGCAAATTCATGACATGTTCTGTATTTTTATATAAATAAAGTAAAATAGATTCTAAACTGAAAAGATCTGGGAGAGCCTACATGTTAAGTCCTTCTTTGAAGGTGTGACAATATATGGTGGTGTATTAAAGGCTCCAAGCATGATATAAATTTGCTTGACTTTGTTTAATCCAACATTTTCTAAACTAAAGTGATGCAGAAGTGTTTGTTTTCCCAGCCATTAATATCTCTGAGTGCTAATGTGCTTAGGAACACCATCTGGGAATCTCTGCTTTGAGACAGTACTGGAAGAGGTAAAGCCAGCTCATTCCTAGGAAGTCCTACACCTTTGTTGACTGCCAGAGTGGCCACCATCTTGAATCTAAAGGAGCCATTCCTGATTTTCAAAGGTTGGGTTCATGAACTTATTTCACCTGAGTGTCTGCTGCTTCATCTCTCTTCCTTTCCCTGTTTCACTGCCTCAGCCTCCAGACTCAGGTTCTATCCCATTCACTCCCAATTTCCAGCCTCCCTACTGCCCTCCAACCCTGCCCCAGAATAAATGCCAGGCTCATCACTCTCAGGTGCAGCAGGGTTCAGGGACGCCCTTGCCTACTCTGTTTTTATTATGTTCAGGCGTTTTCTCAGTTGAGTAAGTTTGCTCTGCACGAGTGAGAAAATTTGTTCATACAGTGTGCTCCAAAGCCTATGTGACATCAAGTGTAAGATGATTCCAAATTTTTTGTAACATTAATATGTTTCATGGCCTTTAGTAGCCCATTTAGCCATTCTGATGCACAAGCGTCTCTGTCTAGGTTTATAAGGGCTTAGAAAAGGGCCCCATATTGCCAGCAATGGTGTTTGAAGGGGTTCCATGTGCACCATTTGATCTGATGAGCTCACCCTGGAGGTTTTACCAGCTACAGTGGACATTGTCAAGGACAGTGTGGCTCAGGATTTTTCCTTACTCCTTTTCTGCCCACTGCCTTGCAGATCTCCAGATGTCACTCATTTCCAGGCTAGCGAAGGTCTGTGGGGACCTAATATATTTATGTCTATGTCACTTTCCTTTATTTCATAGAAAATATACCCTTTTGTTCATGATGTCTAACATTTGCTACTAGGTGGCAGAGAATGTTAAACAACTTCATTATTATCTCTCTCTAGCCTTCCTTGCCCTTGCCTACACCAACTTCACTGAGTGCCCCACACCCACCACCCCAGTGGTGACACCGTATCACTTCTCAGGATGACAACCGTGGGCAAAAGTTTGGGCAGGATTTAGGCCCAAACCATGGTTCAGAGCACAGACCTGATCTTATTTGGTACTTATTCCCCATAAGTCCCAGCTTCCCAATACGAGACAACTTGTGCCCCCTTAGATTGTGAGCCACACAGTGCCTGGCCTTTCACTTCTCCACATATCCATCATGGTGCCTAGCACCAAGCTCAATGCCCACTTACTAACTACCAGTTTAGCATCTCCCAGCCCATAAGGGATGGAGCCAGAAGTGGACCCAAAGTCTTTTGATGGGTAGATCCATCACTCTGAACCAGTTCTGTCCCACGAGTGTGATTCTGCAGAGCACTCAGCTCTCTCCTCCGTGGGGCCACTTCATTCTCACCGTGATTCATCCAGTAACATCGATTGAAAAGGTAGCTGGGGCTCATAACTACATACATTGCGGTGCCACAGAGAATTACGCAGATTTTATAAAATCATTGCTTATGCAGATAGCCTCAAGAATTGTATTTGGGGCAGGCAGGGACCACAAGTATGTGTACAAACCCATAAGGTCATACGTGTTCCAACTTGAAAGAGGTCTTTGAGGACATTTAGAGGAACTTCCTTATATTTATGGTTTGGAATCTGAACTCCAAAGACAGATACAGCTCAGAAACACAGTTGCTAAACTAAATGATGCTAGAGAATTCCCCTCTACATAAACCCAAATGAGAGAGTTTATTGTCAATTCTTTTACTGATACCCAATTTTCATTCCAGAATTTGAGTTATGTCATATTTTGGTAACTCTGATGTGATTCAGAATTATGTCCCTTTTAAAATCAAACTGAAGTGAAATCTCCAACAAAACTCTAAAGAATATGAGACAGTGACAGGTCAAAAGGAAAACTAAATTTGGAGCCATACTTGAATGTCCTCAAAATTAATGCAAAAGCAAAATAGAACTAATCTGTGCACTATAAGGAAATACAGTGAGGAATTACTAGTTCTACTTCTAGCATACTTATATTAGTATATTATGTAAGCATATACTTATATATGACAGACACAGATATATTAAGAAGGGAATAGAAAAATTAAAATGCTTCTTTACATGACTTAAGCTACTCCATTAACATTGTACTAAACAAAGGAATTTAAGAAAATAAGAAATTAAAAACAGACATAAAGAAAACTAGCAGAGCGGCGCCACCTAGTGTCGATAATCTGAAAAAGCATCTGCCCTTCCCTGCGCCCTCTAGTGGTAGAATTAACCATTCGTCATAGGCAGGAAAACTAATTCTAGAAACACGATGTTTGGTTTCTTTCCTCCGCTCTGGATGGGAGACAGAAAGAGAGAGCATTTCAGCACATTTTCTTAGCAAGATGTACCATCATTCACTATGTTTAAGACGAAACAACTACGGAGATCCAACTTCCGGTTGATCACACAATAGTCTTCTTATAGACATGATTTTAAGTGAACTGTACTCATTAACCTTTAAAATCTGAATAATCTTAAAACTTATAAGCCCTTCTGTTCCCATGACATTCTGTACAACATGAAATTTTACGAGCACCATCCCTGTGCCAATATTTTAGTAACCTTTCAAAGCCAAAACAAACTTTAGTTAAAAAAAAAAAAAACAACCTTAAACTAAAAGTAAATGTGAGAGAATTTGAGCCAGAAATAAGATTCATCTTCCTCTGTGCCTCGGTTTATCCATATGTAGTGTGGAAATGGTTCTAATTCCAGTCTCCCTACCTTCCTTTAGGAGTGAGGGAGAGTTGCCAGTGATTCGATTGGATGCATTATCCCTAGATGCTATCTAACGATTACATGATATTATCCCTAGATGCTATCTAAAAGTAGAAAGGATAGGATTTAGAGACAAAGCTGAGATACTTTGTTATTTGTATTAAGAGTTGAAAATGTTGGCGTTGATGTCTAATATCAGCACTGCCTGAGTGAAGGAAAGAACGGTGAACCAGAGAACGAGATGAACTTTACTAGTCACATGATCTACCCTTGGATAAGTCATTTACGTCTGGACTCTATTCTCCATAGGGCCTGTTCTGGCTCTAATATTCTACAGTTAGATAATATGATTACAATCTCCCTGTCGCTGTCCCAGCATAGATCTTCGTTACCTCTTATCTGGACTATTGCAATATCTTCCTAACACATCTCTCCTGGCTCCTATCCATCCGGCGAGTAATCAAAGAAGATGGGTATTTCCAGCATAAATCTTCCTAAAGTGTAAGTCCAGTCATCCCATTCCCCTGCCTAAAGGCCTGAAATGGCTCCCCATGGCATTTTGCATGGCGACCAGTCTCAATCGGTATCTGTTCTGTGCCAGGCAGTATAATTGGTGCTTTCTGCGCCCAGTGTCATCACATCCACACAATGACACTTCAGATTGGCAGGATGTGCCCATTTTCAAGGGATGGAGGTGCAGTTCAGGGAACTGATTCAAGTCCACATGAGACAGTGAGGAGCCTAGGATGCAAATCTAGGTCTATGGTCCTCAAATTTGCGGTGTTTGTGAGCAGTTAAGGTGTACACTCTGGAGCCAGAAATGCTTGGGTTGGAATCCAGGCTCTGCCAAACATGGTTCCACATTATGTGACCCTTGAAAATTTCTTAACCCCTGTATGCCTCAGTTTCCTTCTCTGTAAAATGGGTGCTTAGTGAGTGTTTTGTGTTATTGTTACCACCTTTTCTCACTGAGAAGGCATGAAGTGCCTTAACATTCAAAGTGCTTCTAAACTTGGTTCCAACTAGATTTCCCATTTTTTCTTCTACTACTTTCCAAAGAGTCCAATGCCAAATTGTTCCAATCCTTCTCCAACTGCACCTCACCCCACATACTTGCAAGTGTCCTGGCCTTCCTCCAGGGTCTCTGCTTTTGCTGCTGCTGGTGTTCTCCCTCTTCAGAAAGTCTGTTTCCTCCTCTCTACCAACCTCTAGTATTAGCACAGTGATGGGCATATAGTTAGCAGGTGATAAATGTTAGGTGTTATCAGTATTATGATAATTGATGGGACTGTTGGTAATATCCTTCAAGGCCCAATTCCAAGCTCACCTCTTTCATGAGGCATTTTCCAATCCTCACATGAGGTGTTATCTTCTTCTGAACTACCTGACTGTTGCCTACCTACCACTCAGCCCCCTCGCCGGCTGTGCTGCCCAGTACAGTAGCTGCTGGTCACATGTGGCTACTGCACTTGAAATGAGGCTGGTTCAAAGTGAGACCTGCTATAGGCATAAGATATATCCATATCCCCAAACTCTGTATAAATACAAGAAGTAAGAAGTTTCACTGGTATTTTAATTTTTCTTAATGTTTTATTTATTTCCGAGAGAGAGAGAGACAGCATGAACAGGGGAGGGTCAGAGAGAGAGGGAGACACAGAATCTGAAACAGGCATCAGGCTCTGAACTGGCAGTCAGCACAGAGCCTGACACGGGGCTCAAACCCATGAACTGTAAGATCATGACCTGAGCCGAAGCCGGACGCTTAACTGACTGAGCCACCCAGGTGCCCCTAACAGCTTCATTTTTAATGGCTACATAAGTATCCCATTGATGGATGTATCATACTTCATTAAGCCAATCTGTTAATGTGCCAGAGATCAGTTAGAGGCTCACCAATCCATGATGCTCAAGAAGAGAAAGATTAGGATTCCCAGCATCCCTTGCAGTTGGTTGTGGCCACATGACCAGCTTCTGGCCAATAAAATGTGGTCAGAATGATGTAAGCCATATCCAGACCATAACAAATCCAGGCATTTCTCCCTATCCTTTCCCTCTTCATTCATCTGT